CTTCGAACGAATAGCGATCGACGTGGCTGGTCCTTTACGGAGACGAACAATGGCAACAAATACATTGTGGTAGTAATGGATTACTTCAGCAAATGGGTCGAGGCCTACGCGTTGCCAAATCAAGAAGCGTCCACGATTGCTGATGCCCTTGTTAAAGAATGGATCTGCAGGTTTGGTGTTCCCATGGAGCTTCATTCAGATCAGGGGAAAAACTTTGAGTCCAATCTGTTCCAAGGCGTCTGTGAAGTCCTGAACATCCGCAAGACCAGGACGACTGCTCTACATCCACAATCCGATGGGATGGTTGAACGCATGAACAGAACTATCAACCGTTATCTGGCCAAAGTAGTCTCTGACCACCAAAGAGACTGGGACAAATTTCTTCACCTGTTCCTGTTGGCCTACCGTTCATCCGTCCAAGAATCTACAGGGCAAACTCCAGCCAGCATCGTTATGGGACGGGAAGTGCGCCTAGAGGTTGGAAGCGTCTTGAGGCTAACCGACAATGCACATGATCAAGCAAGGCACATCTTCTACCTGGTCACCAAGGAATGGTCCCCGAGTAAGCCGACTTATCTCAATCTATGGAAGACCCTGATTGAACTGAGAGAAGCCCTGCTAAACAACAACATTGCACGATTAGCCATTCCGAAGCTGGCGTGTGGACTCGATGGTTTGAGTTGGCGTACAATCCGGAACATGATTGAAGTCTTGTTCAGATTTACGGGAATCGAGATCCTCGTTTGCTGCTACAACCCAAAGCTGAGATCGGAGAGAAAACTGTAGACTGCTATTTCTACCAGACTTCGCAATGTACCAGGGGCCAGCTTTGCAAATACCTTCATTCACCGTATACATCTCGGGACGAGCATGTGCCTAAGAAGGGGGCAGTGTTGCGAGCCGGTGTGGACTCGACCTAACCTCACAATATGGCCCGCCCTCGGATGACCTTAACATCGCATAGACACCGCAATGATTCATTCGTTCGAGAAGAATCGAGACCCACTAGAATGGACTCGTACATACGAGAACATTCGAAAACCTCTCTATGCGCCTAACGATCTTTGGACTATTCTAGATTTCTTTTACCTGTCGGTATAAAAGCCGGCGGCAGTGGCCTAGAGAGGGCAGTTATAAATATACAGTTGACGCGCTAAAAATTCAAAATAAATTCTTAGTTATAAATCGTTTGTAAATAGTTCTATAAGTCGTTTATCGTTATTAGTTTTGTTAATTAGTGTTAAATAAATAGTGTTTAAATAAATTGTGACTTTCTATCCACACGGAACCGACGAAAAACGTAACAATATAATAATTTTGACTGGCTTCCACATATCTGATTGACTTCAAATTTGTTTACTACGTGTATATCGTTCACGTATTATTCAGAAATCAAAGACTTATCTTGTGTGGTACGATTCAACCATGCCATGTGTGTTGTGATGAAATTGGAAATGACATTTTTTCGGAAAACCATTGGCATATCGTTTGGGTAGGGACGAAAAGCTGGTATGGTTATATGAATTTGTATCTGAATAAAGGATTTTTCTGCGTTTTCTAGCATATACAGTGTATACGCTATTATATAGCGTATACATATATATATATATATATATATATATATATATATATATATATATATATATATATATATATATATATATATATATATATATATATATTATATTATATAGTATATATTGAGTTTCATTGCAAAACCCATGGCAGCCTGATCAAAGTTCTGCCAAAAAAATATAATTAAAAAAAATACAAAATAACACTGATAACGTCCCTAAAGTCTCGGCGGATTCTTCTTTAATAAAAAAAACAACCACAACTTAAAATATTATATCAAATCGTAAAAAAATGGAAAGCATTAAACGAACACATTAAACATTTAAAAAATATATAAAACAACAAAAATCTACTTCGCGATTTTTCGAGCTCCTTTTTTCCAAAGCTCGATTTTGGTTTACACATTCAGCCAAACTATGAGGACCAAGATTCCCATTCTTCTTAAAATTAACAGGCTTTCTTCCAGACTGGAACCATCTTTTGCCACTGAACTTGGTTTTTCTTCGGGCTACACTAGTTGACTTCACAGAAATTTTCACTCCTTTTCTTCTAGTGTGGACCATTTGTTTTCTTGATGAACAAGAATATTTGAGTGCTGTATAAAGTCCACTCAAAAGAGAAGATGAACTATTTATATTTTTTGTGTAGCTTTGAATACAGGCTCTGACTCCGCCTTGAAAATTCTCGGGATCATCTTGAAGGTTCTTCATCACTTGGCAGTCTAGATCAGTTATGAAACTTTTCCAGTCACTCAATAGCTCTGTAGTTGCGTTGTCAACACTTTTATTGTCAGCTAATTTTATTGTACCGCTGGCGCTGGTATCAAAATCAGTACCACTATTATTATCTCGGTAATCATCAACTGACTAACTAGAGCTTTCTTTTTTATCAGTCGGTAAATTTTCGAGAACTAAAAGTTGAAGTAAATGTGAAGATGGTTCACTACCTGTTGCCATTACTTGCTTCAACTTCTTCTCTGGTCCTTAAATTCACTCTGACTGTTTGTTCCGAAGTTATTTTGTACTCGTAAGAATCGGGAAAATCAACGAAGCTACTCATTTTGTATACAGCAAATCAAAACATAACTTGCGCATATCACATGCAGGCTAATTTGCGATAACATGTGCTATTTAGCAGGGTGTTTTGCGATCGCAAGTGGCGTTTAGGAGCTGACGCTCAGCTCGAGCCGATTAGCGATCACGTGTGGTATTTAGAAAAATGCAGCCCGCGCACCGCATTAGATCGGTGCGCTCGGTGCGCTGCGCTCGGTGCGCTTCGAGCTATCGGCGGTACTCGCGCCATCAGGCGAAATCAGAGAATGCATGGGAGGGGGACGAATAGTCTACGCCGAGCGACTGTTTTTAGTGGAGCGGTTTTACATTAAACATGTCCGATGAATTATTAATCGAAAGTGTACGAGACCATATCATACTTAATATGCGGTTCTTTATAAAAATTTCTTACAAGCACGTAACCTATGTATACTATATTGTTTACTACACTTATTCAATAACTGAATTAGAAAATCTTCCGATTAAACCCAATTATTTCTCATCTCGTTTTGATTATCTCACATTATTTTGAAAATCGAATTTAAATATCGTCAAAAAACTTATCATATTATTTAATTTTTGGTTTGTTTTGACGTTAGTAATAACAGCTGATAAATAGTCATCCTATGTTACTATATTGATCGCTCCGTAAAAGGTATAAATAGAGAAAATAATATTTATGTTTGAATAAAATATTTGTACATATATCTACCGTATGATAGAAAAAAACGGCGTCCAGTTGGATGGGAAATGACGATTGATGACATTTCCTATATAAATTTACATATAAAATGGCACCGACCTTCACTTTATGGCCATCGCTGATGCCGTTCCTTTTCGATAATACGGTACTATAAAAACTATTTATATTTTTTCTTTTTTCAATTTTCTTTGACTTTTTTATTATATTTTAAGTTTTTAAAATCTTGGTTTTAAGTCAGTAGTGAATAAAACGAAACTTGTAAACACAAGTTTTTTGTTTAGTGATTGACGTTTCGACTAATTTTAATTCCGTCTTCTTCAGAATCTATAATATACAATACAATTTTATCACTAACAATGTGTTTAATATATAATTTTTTCTTACCACAAACGTAGAAAATTAGTTATACGTATATTATAGATTCTGAAGAAGACCGAATTAAAATTGGTCGAAACGTCAATCATTAAACAAAATGTAAACACAAGTTTCGTTTTATTAGGGAGTTTTCGTTGCTTACAAATTGCAATTCCTCGAGGAAGCAATTAATCGAGGAATGTCTTTTTTTTCAAAGCTGAAGTTAGCTTTGCAGTCTTGGTCAGATAACATTTCTAGGTTGAACTCCCCATAAAGTTCTGCTCGATATTCGATGTTTTCAAACCCTTCCAACAGCATAGCATCCTCCAAATCCGATTCATCACTAGAGTCCAATAAAATTAAATTGTCCATCCTATATAGCGATACCCAATAAAGTCATATAAAGCACTTTCAAATCAAACAACAATATAAAAACCAAAAATCAAAACACTACGCTACGGGCTGTGCTTAGCTGTCAGTTTTCGGTTATCGTATCGTATGTCGGCTCCGAACCGATGAACCGAAAGTCCGAAAACTGTTTTTTTATCTGTCAAAATAGCGGTTATGGTTACGTATCCGTTAACCGTACCGTTGAATTTTTTTAAAGCAACGAAAACTCCCTCTTTACTACTGAGTTAAAACAAAGATTTTAAAACCTTAAAATAAAAGCTATATAGAAATGTTTGTAATGACACTTATTTAGATTAAAAAACTAAAAACAGAAGTTTTATTTGACTATTTTTCATATCTAGCTTTGTTTTTAAAGAACAAATTAAACCCTTTTGAATGATACAAAATTTCTTAAAATCGGTCAAGCTAAGAGTCATGTAGTATATTTTATCCCCATCTTCCACTCTGTTTCACTAATTTTATGTGGTTTGTTAAGATCTAAATATATTAATGTGTGTTTGGTTAAGATCTAGATAATATTAATTTCCATCATAAAGCATAAAATATAAAAAGTTGCATAAAAATATAAATAGTAATAATACTTTATAATTTTTTGAAATGCCGAATGAATTTCACTAAATTTGAATAAACTTCTCCTCGTCTATGCTCAAATTTATGCTGGTGGCGTACTCTCGACCGTCGATCATGCGACTCCAGTGCGCGGCTGCAATCGACTTTCCGACCGGTCGTGCCGCTCGCACCGCTCGCTCTCGCCGATACCCCTTCAGTGCGCGCGGAGCTTAATTATCCACAAAAATTCTTTAATTTTTATTCAAAAGCTTTCGGGCATTTTGTTCCACGAGGCATCTTAATAGTCCTGGACTAATTATTCAGAAAGACTAATATCATTTTCTCTTTAATTTCAGACTTCAAAACTGTGTTCCCAACACTGAAAATCCAGACTACTCGCCTAAAAGAAACCGAAGAACTCTAAAAGACAAACAATTGGCGGACATCTCTATTGGGATAAAACAGGAGAACATTAGGCGCGCCCTAACATACAATATTACAGGGACAAGTGCTGCGATCATTGACCTACTTGAACGCTCAAGAATAAGTCGATCATCAGACGAACGTAGGTCGGCCAGTCCCACTGTAGATGAAGCTCAAATGCTCGATTTATCGCTAAACGAACCTTCAGGGAGCGGTATGAGTCGGGAGCGTCTCTCACCCACACTCTCGCCTCTGGAGGAGGTACCGTCATCAGGTGACAGCGACTCTCCGCCTAGAATGTGACAGGCTCGATTGACAACCCAACGAAGATGACGAAAGGACAACCGCAGATCCCCAATTCAAATGAAATTCAAAAATTTCGCCAGCAAGTATCCTCTATGTATGTGGTACAATTTTATATAAACATTTTTTGATATTATGCGAAAATTGCTGACTATTTTTGTTTCAAGTGTATGCAATGACAAGCATATTTTATTTATGTATTATTTCCCGAAAATTAAGTTCAATTCAATCTTGTAAGAAGTCTAACAAGATTTTTGTTCAGGCTTGTTAGACCATTATACTTTGTGTTTTATTTACGATTTATTAAGAAACAATTCAATAACGTCTCTTTTATAAAGTTTGATTAAAAAGTTTTATGATCAAGCGGGCCTTGATGATAACAATAATTGTTTATCTGTTATGCAAAGCACTCTTGATCATAATACTATTTTTGATGAGAGTACTTACCATATAAACCTGAATTTAAACTAAGCATAATTATGTAATTACAAAAATGTAACCGAAATAACAATCATAAAATGTATTAGTCCCTAATATTAATATCTAAATATAGACAGATATGTACTGTCTGGCCACCAGCTTTTAGACGGGTATAAACATTTATCAGCTTTTTTGTTTCTACTTTTTACAAAAGAATGGACTCTTTAATTAGAAAGGAATGAACATTTTCAGTATTGCCTAACTAAATATTAACTAAAAATATGTGTTATTCATCATTAGCAAAAAAATATATAATAGAACATAAGATAATTCTACTAAAATCAGCGCGTATCCTATATAACATACATTAAATTGTCCTTATGCCTATAAAAAATATAATCATTCATAGGCATATATAAATAAATATAAGAAAGCATTATTCATAATATCTCTGTTGACATTAATATATTCTAAGGCACTTTTTAAAAATTAACAATGAAATTTGCCGAGATATAGCTTAATTTTATTAATATGTTTATTTAGTTTAGAAAGTATACTTTATTCAGTATTAATCTCGTAAACTTACAGGGTGAATCAAAATCATTGAACTATTTTAAAAAGATATATAACATAATTTTCGTAAAAAGTTATAGTTTATTTTACTAATAAAGATATTTGCTAATACTGATTTTGAATAAAAAATTGTATTATATAAACTTTAAAAGTATTAGTAAGCATCTGAAAATTGGTAAAAACAGGCTGTGATTTGCTTTTTTGGTGTGATCCGACGTGATAAGCTGTTATGTGATGTTTTCCATTATTGGAGAAAATAGGAGTATTTTTTTGTGAAAAATAATGGATACTGATTATTAATAATATAATTGACATTTAGCTGTTAAAATACAGAGATACAAAACTCAATTTGTCCATTTCTATCCAGTCCATTGAATACTTACAAGCACACTTACTCAATTAGAACATTAATTTACTCCAGATTTTACCAAAAATATCTGTGTCCAAAAAAGGTTATCACACCTCTCATTTATGAATTAGGTTAAGTTTACATTATCTACTTATTCTTGATCTGTATGTTGTTTGGCTGGTAATCAGGAAACAAAGCAATATATAAAACTTATGTGGAAATAATCCGTATAATATAGCTAATTTATTAATGAAATATATTAAAAGTTTTTAAAAACTAATATAAAAATGTATTATCGCAATATCAAATTGAAATATCTGTTGCTTATACCTTTTTGTTAAAACACGGAAGCTTTCTGTATGTCAGTAAACTATGTATATGTATAGAAAAATTTCGATTCATATTTAAAATTATTTATTATATTTGAAATCATATAATTTATTTAAGATTACAATTGTTATAATTCTAATTGTGGTTAGTGAAGATTTCTCTCATATAATCATCTCACTTTATTAAATACAGTTTGTAATATATTATATTATAAGGATCATTTCCCAAAAACCTTTTCATGTAGCATGTGATAATAACTTTAGGAGGTAGTCTTTCAATCTGGAGATCAGATTCTAGTGTAGTACAAAGGCAGTTATCGTGATAGATGTGTGTGTGTTAAGTGCCCGCTTAATGTAGGTTTGCTACGCTTCATGTTAGAGATATTTCTCTCTCTATTTTTCTAAGTGTTTTCTATGCCAGTTTCAAAAACGATGATGATAGTTAAGACTCAGCTAACTTTCTTAATTACTAAAATATCATTTAATTTTTACAAATGTTACTTAAATTTTTTATTATAAAGCTGCAGTTATGGTGGAGCGAGAATTTGCTCTTAATTTCAATGAAGATGATATAAACAACTGGAATTATAAAGAGGTTGACTATTTTAGACATTTGTAAGAGAAAATCGATTGCCCTAACTGTAACTTTAGCGGTACAAAAAAAATATCTGGTTTGTTATACGTTTCGAATGAAGAACCAAATACAAAAAGGCTGACTAAATATTTTAATACATATTCGAAATATCTTAAATTGACAAATTATGTTGACATTTCTTTGATTTTTTGTACTGCCTTGATTACCATCAGAAAATGACTATACTAAAATTATATAAAAAGTTTCTTTACAATGAACAGTCTTGCAAAAAATAGTTTTTCAATGATATGCATGCATCGCTTAACTTATTGTCCGTAATATTATATTTGCTCTGTTATATTTTTTCTTTACAGCTAAGACTACTTTAAATCAGGATTGAAAAACGATTTTTTTTATTCAGGTGTCATTTTATTTTTAATTTCAGCACTTTTAATCGAGGTTTTGTGAATGTATTGAAGTAACTTAGGTAAAACTTACTACTCGAATTCTTTGTCTATAATTCCAATAAACTTTGGTTGGTTCATAATTTCAACTAGTTTTTAAGCGTAATAAATATTTTATCAATCATGATTATTCTAAATATATTAGTTCTAGGTATATCTTCTATTTGTTTTTTTACACATCACTAATTATTTTTTTGTATTCCATATGAGAAATAAATATATACAATTTATTGATATAGATAAGGTATTATTTCAACAAAATACTCCTTCCTTGCAACATTATACAGAGTGAGTCTTAAATAAGTGCAGATATTTTTAGGAGTTAGTATATTTCGACCTCAGAAACACGATCATGAGGTTTTTTTTCGCGAAAAAAAAATGTTGAAAATTTGGAATTTTTGAAAAATTTTCCGTTCTTTTTTAGATTTTTTTTTCTTTTTAGTTAAGAAACATGACTTTTTGATAATATGGCAACATAGGTAGTAGATTAAATTTACAAGAAAGAAAATCTAGAAGTGATCCAGTTTTTCTCAAGTTCTATTAAAAAAATAAATATGTTTTTTTTATCGAGATCTACCAGCCTTGAAAATATTTGCACTTATTTAAGACTCACCCTGTATATGGAGTGGTCAGAATTAAAATGGATGAAGTCTAATTTTCTACTATTTTAAGATAACCGTCTTTATACATTTATAGAATATTGTTTTTTCCATTAAATAAATCTATCAAGTCTTGCAATCTATCACTTCTCGCATTAAGCTGTTTATCCAACTTGTTTTATTTTAATTAAGTAACATTAAAAAACTTTAACTATCATTTTCTCCATAATTACGTTTTAGGACTTGATTCAGTTCACTTCTGAACCCCTCATCAGAGCCGGCGGAAGGGAAATATTGAAACCGGGCGAATACCCTACCTGGCGCCCCCCCCCTCAATAGTTAACATGTTAACATAACAACTAAGTATATTTATGCTACTTTAACAATAAAATTTCACTTGAAGGTACTTCAAAATTCTTCTCTTCGTTCCATCTTAGTCCGCGGTTGTTGTTTTTTCTATACCGGGTGCATCTTGAAAATGACTCACCCCTATCACTCTTATTTTTTTAGATAAAAAACGAAATTTGGTATGTTAGTATATGACATAAATTAGAATTGATTGACGTATTCAATTGTTTTTGGTCACTTTTTGTTTCAACGAAAAACTATTGATTTTTAAATAGCACCGACGGTAAGTATATTTCTGGTTTATTCCATAGAAAATGACACTCTGAGTAGAATGATATATCATATGTCAACTTTTGACATTTTTGCTCAAAAAAATATTTTTTTGAGTATTTTAAATTTCAATCTAGAGTGCCATGGCTGTGTTAAAAACACTAATTTTTAAACAAGGAACCTTGAATAGATTTCATTGTCTAATGTTTTTCGTGTCTTGTCCTGGTGGGTTAAAAAATGCCCAAATCGTATTTTTAATCATATGCTAATTTTTTCAAATGGAATAATTGGCTCATTTGCATATTTGGAAAAAAAATACGAATAATTTTGTACCAAACACTTGATATTTCGAGTCACATTGTCGTTATGAACCGTATGTTACAATTTCAAATAAACCATATTATGCGAAAATGTCAAAAGTTGACATATGATATGTCATTCTATTGAGATTGTCATTTTCTATCGCATAAAGTAGGTTGACATTTAAAAATCAAATGTTTTATTAATTTCCGGTGAAAGAGGAAGTGATCAAAAACAATTGAATACGTCAATTAATCCTAATTTATGTCGTATACTAACATACCAAATCTCGTTTTTTCATCTGAAAAAATAAACAAGTTATAAGAGTGAGCCAGTTTTGAGACGCATCCGGTATATAAATGATAAGTATAAGTGATATTTGAAAACATTACTATTTAGTTGCAAGCAATTGCATTATTTTTCTATAAGAATTTAAGAAAAACTTCTTTTCTTTTTCACAATCAATTATTTCGTGCAGAATCAGTATAGGTATGATCAGATACAGTTTTGTTGGCTTCAAAATGAGGATCAGCCAGTGTTTGAGATTTGATATGCATTCATTTGTCTTGCTTTAATGAGAAATTTCTACGATTCTGCTACCATTTATTATGTATTACTACATATTCAATCCAGAACAATCAAAATCACCAAAAGATTGATATTTTTCCCACTACTGTTAATAAATTAATGAGGCAAACTTACAAGCTTTTTTTTTGATAATGATATCGGGATCCTATTTAGCTTCGTACGAATTGAATATTTATTTCATATAATTTTAGGGCAGATCAGCCATTAACAAATAAAGGGTGTGGGTATTTTTGAGCGGTCAGTCTAAAACTGTCAATTTTGCTGGCTCTTGACCCAAAACAGTTTATTGTTTAGAGAAAATTTATAAAAACAAGAATTATAGAAAGGAAGGGTTATTTACAAAAAGTTGATAGCTTTTCAGTTATAAGTAAAATACCACGAACAATTTGTTTTTAAATATTTTAGTTGCTGGCATGGCGCCCCTCATTCATATTCGGCGCCCCGGGCGGTCGCCCCGGTCGCCCGACCCTTCCGCCGGCCCTGCCCCTCATACACCAGGTGCGTCTCAAAAGTCCTAAGCGAACCCAGCCCCTATAACTTTTATTTTTTTAGATAAAAAAACTAGATTTGGTATGTTAGTTAATGACATATATTAAGATTGATTGACGTATTCAATTGTTTTCGGTCACTTCCTGTTTCACCGAAAACGACTATAACTTTTGATTTTTAAATAACACCCTCGGTATTTTTTTACTTTATTAACACTTTATGAACCGCATGTTACAATTTCAAATAAACCGTATACGAAAAAGTTGACATCTGATACGTCATTCTATGTCATTTTCTATGGAATAAAGTAAAAAAATACCGAGGGTGCCATTTAAAAATAAAAAGTTATAGTAATTTCCGGTAAAACAGGAAGTGACCGAAAACAATTGAATACGTCAATTAATCTTAGTTTATGTCATATATTAACATACCAAAGCTCATTTTTTTATCTGAAAAAATAAAAAATTATAGTGGTGAGCCATTTTTGAGACGCACCCGGTATATCCGCAGATACCTACAAAGGTAGGTATAAAGATAAGGGCCGTGAAAGATTTAATACTAGAGCTTTCAAAAAGAGCATCTATACATATAGTCTTTCTATTTAATGAATTGTTTTATTTCATACTTTATTTGTCTATGTAATTATTAATTCACACCTATAATGGACATATTTCCTTATAGTGGACACCCATTTTTCATAATTCTTAAAACAAGTCAGTTATAGAAGGGTCATAGGTTTCCTTGACAAATTAAACAGTTTGGCACCACTGTGTAACATCGTTGTTATGCAGTAGGTTTCCCGCGCCGTTAAACATAACCTCATAAACAAGGCTCATGTTACATGTTGACATATTTTTTTGCCTGTTTTTACAAGTAGATATTACAAAGTTATTACCAAAAAACTATCCATGTAAGTACCAGCTTTTTCTTTTCTTTTATTACCTCCAAAGAATTAGTTCGGTTTATCTTGTTATACTAATTTTAAGGTTAAGTAAAAGGATGGTTATCTTCAGGAACACTAAGCAAAAATGTACTACGGAGGTAAGCCCTCCGTAAAATGTACATAATGTAGACTGCGGACATGGCATGTTCACTTTAGGAACAACTGAATTTTAATGTATTTTAGAAGAGACACAATGTTATATAGATGGCTATGAGTTTTTTTATGATACAAAAGTAGGATCGTATGGTGGACATACTACATAAACTGTCCACCTATGCTGTCCACAATGGGTGGTTATTTGAAAAAATTGTTTTTTTTCTTGCGTCTAGGTATCGTTATAGTTAAAAAGTTCTAAAATGATCGAAAAAAACTTGACAAAAGACTTATCGGACATCAGAAGCAGGTCATTCCCCGAATAACCCTTATGCGGAAACATTTATAAATTATTGTGTATTGGTTCATCTGATTAATAGTCCACATTTCAAATTTCAGATTTTCTAGTATTATTGATTACAAACGATGTCTGGGACTCACTCAGACTAGCTGAGGGCGACCTCCGATTGACTTTTTCAAAGCACTCAACCAAGGGTAGAATATTTCTACAAGGCCGGATAGTCCTAGCAACTTAGGCCATAAAACTAAAATACTACTACTACAGTTGTACAAATATAGGAAGCGACTTGGGGATAGCACCTCAGGGGGGTGACAGTAAACCGGAAAATTGGAAACAGTTCTGGCGCGGTCCTACCCAGGCAGAAAGCATGGCCTTCTAGACTGTCCTAGACAAAAATCTGAACATTTCTATATGATTTCTGTCAATTTCTGCTACGGGACATTTTTATGTACGTCGGCGTCCTGTTCTTTTGTCTTTTATCTGTGTGTCAGCGTCAGCTCCCGAGGCCTCTGGCAAGGTCGGGCGCCATTTTAATTTTTGCCGTTTAGATTTGATTGGAAGTTTGTTTCTGATATTTCGGCTGAAATTTATAAGTACAAAGATGTTTTTTGGTATAAAGTTCCTTGTTAACACTTTAATAAAGTATATATGATATTAATTACATGAAGAAAATGATGAAATCGACGTTTCTGCGTGTAGTAGGTATGGGCCATATTATATGTAAAAATAGATAATATGTTAACTGTTTTTATATTTTTTTAGCTTTAAACCCAAGGATCTTGGGATATTCTTTGCCAAGGATTTTTCCGTATCTCTACTTTAAAGACTGATGATTTGAAAGCAATTGAAAGCAAGTTATACAAGGTAAATTATGATTATTGAACTATTATTAGCCTATATTAATTTTCTACAAGATGAACAGAAATGCGTAATTACATATCACATAGGTACCTATTATGTATTTTCATAGCAATAATGCTATAAATCTATGTATGTAGATTATTTTTAAAATACAAATGAGGTATTAGATGTATATGTATTATATTTTTTATTAATTTTATTTTCATTCAAGTCCTGTTTGATTTAATTCACAAAAGTCTTATGTACCTATATTTATGTTTTTTACATATTTTTTTGATTCCAGGTTTTGTGTGGGTTCCGGTTGCCTTTTTCCTGCTTCCAGTTATTTAGTTTTATGCCCGTGAAGCTGTGAAAATATTTATTTATCTTCAAGTTTTTGTAAGTCAATGCACTGTTACTTTACTAATTCAGTTTAACACAGCATCTCTGATATTATTTAAATATTTGATATTGATACAGTAGTTTATTGGATTATAGCTCTTTAATTGTGTTGATCTGCATATTTACATTGCTCTAAATTCCAAATAAATATTTTTGAGTAATTTTGTTGTATTATTTACTACTAGAAAGAGTAAAAAGTATATTAACCCTCATTTAAACCTCCTGAACAGCCCGCCATTAAAAACCGGAAACGGAAATAAATTTCATAAAATTGAAATTGTCATGTCTGTGTCATGTCAAATGTCCCAGCCGCCATATCTGAAAATTAGTTACCCAGGCAGCCACGCTGTTTCCATAATTTAACATTGACTTGACACTTCTTCTTGTATTTATTATTTTATGGATAGCACCGGTCGCGCACATGAGAGAGAGAACGCATTCGGCGGAAGAGAGATGCAGTTTACGCGCGATGTTCCATACACTCTAAGTAAACAGTTGAACTTAATTTACTGTTTGATTTGGTAAAATAAACTATGATCATTTTTTAATGGTGTAGGTATTGTAGGCCGTGTTAATAATATAATACTGTGTTAATAATACAATTGAATCATTGATCATCATTGAATTATTATTCAGAACCTACTGAATGTTTTACGTTATCACACTTGATTTTACCCAGGGTGCACCGTTCGTTACGCTACGAAAAATCTGATTAAATGGCAAATTTCTGGGCTGTCCACTGCGTATCGAGGGGCGTCTCTTATTTTGTCACGTCTCTAGCTATACTTGTTAAGTTGTACTATATAAGAGAAACTTTTTTTAGTGAAGAGCAAGAAAATAAGGCTAAGAAAACGGCAACGGCCCAGCTACGTCGAAACACCAGTTCCCAGTTCATCATTGATCACCGAAGTTAAGCGACGTAAGACGATACTAGTGGATGGACGGGTGACCGTCCGGAAACTGTCGTGCTGTTTTTCCGTGGCAAGAGTTGGCAAGAATGTAAAAATCTATTGACACACACTGCTCATTCACGCCGGTTCGAGCCCGGATATATCAGCATGACCAATGAGAAGGAAAATATTACAGTTGTGCTCACTGCTAATGCAGCTGGTCAGCACCACCTATGAGAGAAGTTAATCTCCGCGACCTAATAGATCTATTGTGTCCTCCTTTCTTGAGTTATAACTCATCATCAGGACTTTGAGAAAAGTCAATATCTGAGACGGTTTTACAGAGGTTATAGTTCTCCATCTCCGATATCAGTCTTCGATATCGGTCATCACACCAAAGTTTATGGCACGAATGGTTGTAGTTTCGGCGCACTTATTGATGAGGTGTTCTGGTATTCCCCGTTTCCCCACAGAATCTGCATTCGCCGTTTTTTCTTAGCTACAATCTACTGAGGTGTTTATTGGGGAGACAGTGTTCTGTTAAAAACCCCGTGACAATCCAAAGATTGTTTTTACTGATATCAAGGAAATTCTTTGATTTTCTTCGGTCGTAAGTCGTGAGAAATTTCTTCGGTTATCTTAGACCGTTGGAGGATTCCCATTTCAGGTTACGGATGGAGTCTTCCAGGTTTTTGAGTTCTGCTTTAAGTTGGCCCTTGGTCATTACCTTCTATCCTTTGGCGGGCTGCCACCCAAGGTAGGAGGACTCAGCATCTCTCGGCATTCGCTGAGCTGAGCTGATCGCTCATAAAGCTGCTTAACTATCCGGTAAGAGGCTATTTCTCGTTTCCTTCTTCTGAGGTAAATTGTACGCATCTTTCGATAGCATATATTTCTACCTAAAAATACTGGAGTAGGTACCATGTTATGGTATAGTGAGCAAACGTTTCTCCCTTCCTGTTCGTTTTGTTGCTCAATACTGTCGCGATCCTGTTTTAGAGTTGCGGCTAGGGACGTTTTAGGTATCGAAGATCATTAAAACAATCAATATAATATAGAAATAAGAAGTATAAATTTATTACAGAATTGAATACATTAATTTAAGTAGGAGAAATGTGAAATAGAATATCTTTTGACCAATAAAATATAGGAAGAGAAAATATATAAAAAATTATAAACTTACTTTACTGTCATTATGATACTTGGAGAACTGAAAACTCAACAGCGTGACGTCATTCATTCCCCCTGTTCTCTCTTATGATTTCCTTTTTAATTATTCTACATATTGATATTTACAACAATAAGAATTAATCAAAAGTTCACCTTCAGATCTTAGTCTGTCGTCAACTTGTTCGAGTTTAATTTTCATTGTGCAAATAATTTGTTTATAAAAATATATTTTATTTAATATATTGGTTGATTTATTTTAATGATAAATCTTAAATTCTTGGTGTTGACAATACTACAGTACCATCCATGATAGTTTATCGTTTTGCCAGAATACCGATGAATTGTACAACGAACATATACGAGAAAAGCAGATTTGGCAAAATTTTGATTCTTCCCATTCCAAGCATGCTTCTCATACGTCACCAAGTTTTCCATCCACCTAGACTGGAATAACACAATCTAGCACTGGAATAGTAGAATCTGATATTTATAGACCAACACTAAAGAAATGATGAAGACCAACATCAACATGGCCATTAACTCACACAGATCCTAAGAAGAAAGAGTAAAGGTAGATAAAAGGAGAATAGAAGCTATTTTTGTTGAGAAATATTCGCCATTGGACAGGCATACAGCACTTCCAGGCAGTCCAAGTCGCTGCAATAAATAGAACCATTTGATGAGGAAGAAAAAGATGAACGCCTACGCAGGAAACGCCTACAGCACCTTAGAAAGAAGAAGTGATCTGGTATTTGCCAATTTTCCCAATAGATCTGCATTCGCCGTTATTTCTCAGCTTCAATTTACTGAGGTGTTCGTTGAGGAGACACTGTCCTGTAGAAGCCCCGTGACAATCCGAAGGTTGTCTTACTTAAAATCAAGGAAAATCATTGATTTTTCTCGGTTATAAGTTCTGGGAGGTGTGTAACCATCCAAACCAAACCAACTTCGAATTGATGGTTACTGAGTTAATCACTTTTAGTGCTGTGTCTATTTTTTCCTTTAAAATAATTTAACAGTGATGCCCCACCGCCGCCCCTGGCCATTAAACTTAAATCTAATTACATCAAATTAAGTCCCATAGTAAGTATTATAAACGGGTCAAGTTATAACAAAATCGATTAACTAATTTTTCAAATATCTTAATTTTTTTTCTTTTTTAAGTAACTTTAACACCCTGTATCTCGAAAAGAAAGCTTTAAATCTTACAAGTTGATATGAACTTTTTGTTTTATTTTTGCAAGTTTTATCGTCTATTAAATTTTCCCGATTAAAATCTGAGACACCCTGTATAACTCTAAACGGCAGCCACATGATTTGTTCTCTTAATATCTCCAGTTAGAGAGAAGATAGGAAGTTGTGGTTAGCGCTGATATTTTGGAAATGTTATGCTCTATTTAACTGTGCAAAAAGAAACATAACCTGCTATTCAATTTTTTTATGCAAAAGTCCAATATCTGTTATAATGTCAAACAGCGCCCTCTAGCTACCACGAAAAAATATGAGGAAACAAAATTTATACTGGGGATCATTAAGGCAGAAAAGCTCTTTTAAACGAGCCCCAGATTGTTTAAATCTTTAAATCGGCTAACCTAAACCAGAGTTATCCTTATTTTAATAAAATTTAACCTTCCCCCACCACTTTATTTTATGAAATAGAGCAAAATACTCTATATCAAAAAAATTAAAAATTTCTTGATGATTATAATAGTAATATTTAAAATACCTGTTCACTTGCATATTTTTGAGAAAACCCCTGTTTCCTGATTGGCTATCAGAGAAGCGCCCCCTAGTGGACATTTTTCGAACTTGAAAATAATTTCCAGCGCTTTCTCTTGGTCGATTCACTTATTAGAATTTTTTTCCCAAAGTTATACGATCAGTAGTTTCTGAGATACAGCCGGCGTCCATTCTTAGTTGGCCACCCGGTACGTATATCGGCATGCATTATTTTATGTCTAAAAATAACATAGATACGCTATATATATAGTATTTTTAATACCCATTTAGAATAACACCATCCTTATTTATTATTAATAAATCAGTTGAAACAAAAAATTACCAACAAAAAGGAACGTCGATAACTAATTTGTTAGATGTCACGTTTTTGAAGTTAACGTCAAATTTTGATTTCATGTTAATGTCATAACGCAAAATAAGATATAAAAATGCGATATTCTGATGAATCCAAAAAGCTTATGCTTAATGTAGTAAACTATTTTCAAAACGATTTAGGATCTCAATTTAAGGCAATTCAAAAAGGGTCCGAAGCACTAAAAGTTCCAGTTTTAAATGCGGGTTCAGATGGTTCAAGAAGCCGCATACGTTAAGTTATTAAAACGGCTGGTACCTCTAAATAGGTATTAAAAATACTATACATATACAGATACGTTTAAGTCCACCATCACTTGGAAGATCAACACGTTTAAATGGAAAGCGATTTAGTACTTGACATTTTGATTGCTAAAACCAAGCATTCGTTATAACCAGGGTTCGTTATAACCGAGGTTATAACCGAGTTCGACTATACGTCAAAAAAATTTTAGTTTTTACACACATATGCTTCTTTAATGAAATCACCTTAATTTATTTCACAGAACCTGAAAATCAATTAATATATAGGGTGTTTCATTATAAAAAACACAACTTTGGGGTGTAACTTTTTTGGGGACACCCTGTATAAATCTCTATATTTAAAAAAAATTCTAATCTAAAAATCTTAAAAAAATTTCTAATTGGAACCTCCGCGTCATATGAGAAGTGCCATCCTGTATATTCATTATATTCCTGGTATTATAGAGGTTATTTATATGCAGTCCTATTAAAATTAATACTGGTATCAAAAAATTGTTAATTTGTTAAAATATGTTAGAGTACATATCTTAAATTAACAAAGTATGCAGAAAGAGTACGAAAATAATTATGAGCAATAGTAATATTAATAAGTTTAATTTTTAGTTGACTGTAATAATTTTTTTATATTGTAAAATTTAAAATTTTTTTGCAGCTTTTAAGAGATGCCATACCATAAATGTGCTGTTTTAAATTGCAGAAGATCAAAAAAAAGATCATTTTTTCGTTTGCCCAAACGGAATATGAATTTATTTGTCTTATGGATAAATTCCACAGGGAATCCGAAATATTTAAGAATGGCCCCTGAAGAAATATATAAAAAAGCTTTTATTTGTGAATGTCATTTCACAAAAGAACAATTGGATGATATGAGAAGAAATATAAAACTATGTGTCCCATCACTTCACTTACCTGGTAAGTATTATACATAGACAAACAAATAAAAAGAGACTGGCAAATTAAATGGCAAAGAGAGGGACAACGTTCCCGTAGCGCAACTCAGAACGCAAAATTTCGTTCTATTTTTGTTGATCTGCGCATTGCGTCTATTGGGCCCAGATTGGGCCCACTATCTCATTCTAATATAACAAGGGAGAAAGAAGCAACCATATAAAACGTAATTTCTAAATAGAAATTAGAACAATCGCCTTTCGTTTTCGTCATTATGACAACCAAGATGACAACATCATGACAATTCGTCATGTTTGTTAATTTTTCTTTTGGTGATTTACCTTTTTTTCTAAACTCTCCATTTTATTTTGACTTATGAATATGGATAGGGAACAAATTCCTTTATTCCATATAGGTATTTATATTTTGTTACTTATAATTTTCGGTTATACTATTTGTTATTTTATTTGCTGCAGGACCCAGTATCATCTATTTTTTATGTTTTGTTGCCCCCTTTCTCTGATAGATATGTTAAAGACACCCGGTAAAATAAAAGTAAGTAGTTATATTTATCATCTTATTAAGAAAAAAGTAGAAGTAGTAGTGTCCAAAATATTTCGAACCTCTCTTAACATAACAAATTAATACAATTAATTTTTTTCATTTTTTGGGTAGTTTTATAGCTGGTTTATAGTAACCAGAAACTTTATTAATATACCTATTTTACTTTTGTTTTAGGATTAAAACTGGACTTGAAAATGGTTGAGGATCATGATACTCGTAAATTCTTCTTTGCTTGGATATTCACTTTGTTATTGCAATTAGGCAGTTTTTTTCGAAAATTAGATTTTTAATGCCCTTTAAAAAAATTGGCTGATCGTTTCCTGCAACAGTCAGTTCTTCTGCATTTAAAATTGGTAGGTGGGTAGAATAAACACTGTTATTTTTTAAAACAGTACAATTTTTGCTTTTTTTATAATTTCCCTTATAATAGTAGTACTCTTTCGTTCTGAAAGAAACTGTAAATTTTCACTTAAACTGATTTATTCCCTACACCAGTTCCCTTTACGTGGTATAGGGAATATATAAATCAGTTTAAGTGAAAATTTTCAGTTTCAGAATGAAAGAATACTACCGTGAAGTGGGGTGACTTTGCCCAATTCTGAATTTTAAATCGTGTATATTTCAAAAATTGTTGTATTTTCTCAAATGCGCATGGTCTATTCTATAAGTGGTAATAAGGACAACACAACAATAATACGCTTTTTTGTTTATTAAACAAATATATATATATAAAAAAAGTAAAAAACTAGATGGGCAAAGTTAGTTACTTATATGGGGTGTCTTTGCCCTCTTCCTTATTCTTATTGATAGACCAAAGCCATTTAAAAGCATAATTACGTAACCCCATTTAAAAGCATAATTACGTAAAAATATGTGTTGTTATAATATATTAGAAAACATTTGGCGGGAAAAATAATACAAACGAATGTACTCTCATGAGCATCAGCTAACGACTGCCTTTATTATACCAAAGCCAAATATATACGTTATAAAACAATGTTGCCACTTATTTTCCTAACCTTTGAGATTATATTTACAACACCCCCACTATCTCAAATGGTTAAGAGGTAAAACCCAGTTACAAAATAAGAATGCTTAATTCTAGCTAAACCCTTCGTTAATATATCTGCTACCATTTCATCAGTTTGTTGGTAATGGATTGTTATCATTCCGTTTGTAATACATTCTCTAACAAAATGATAGCGTACATCAATATGTTTTGTTCGCTTATGGAACAATGGATTCAAAGCAAGTTTTTGTGCACTCTGATTGTCATTATATATTGTAACACTATCGTGAAAATCAATTATTTCACCTAGAATATTTTTCAAATAAACTGCTTCTTTTGAAGCTTCGCTAAGACCTATATATTCTGCCTCAGTACTGCTTAATGCAACAGTTCTTTGTTTACAACTTTGCCAAGAAATAGACCCACCACATAGTTTAAATACATATCCTGTGTATGATTTCCTATCAAAATCATTAGCCCAATCAGAATCCACAAAACCTTCTAAATCAAAATGATCACTAACATTTGAAAACTCTAATCTATAACCTTTTGTACCTTTATTACCTAAGTACTCTCTTAGCACACTGCCAATGATATTCTGAAAAATTATTGTTAAATTGACTTAAATAATTTACAGCAAATGTAATGTCTGGTCGAGTAAGCACAGCTAAATACATTAAGCTTCCTATGAGCTGTTGATAAGGTAAATTACATAAGTTTTTACCTATAGATTAACAATTTTCAACATTAGCTTTACTTTCCATAGGAGTACTAACTACATTACAATTTTCCATTCCAAAAGATTTTAAAACTTTCTCAATATAGTTTTCCTGATCTAAAAAAATAGCATTTCTTTTATAATCTCTAGTTGCCTAACACCAAGACATTGTTTAGCTTCGCCTAGATCTTTTATGTCAAATTCTAAACTCAACTTTGATTTTAAATTATTAACATTTTTAGAATTATCGGAAAAAACAAAAAAATCGCCCACATATAACGCTACTAAAGTTAATGAATTTTTGTCTCATTTAAAATAAACAAGGTTCGTGTTGTGAATGTTTATAACCCATTTTTGACAAAACTTCATTCACTCTCGCATTTCAAGCTCTGGACGCCTGTTTTAGCCCATAAACAGCCTTCTTTAAACGGTATACCTTATTCTCTTGATTTTTAACACCAAATCCTTCAGGTTGTTTCATATATACTGGTTGATCAAGTACACCATTTAAAAATATTTTTATTCAATATTATATTTAAAGTGAATTTTAAATTGCTTGACTGCTAATGCAATCAACAGTCGCAAAGTAGAATGTCTTACTACTGGAGAAAACACGTCACTGTAATCTACACCCGCTTTTTGTACACAACCTTTCGCCACTAAACGCGCGCGATGTTTTACGTCTCCGTTTTCACTGGTTTTGCGTTTGAAAACCCACTTGCATGGAACAACAGTTGAAGAGTCAGGTACGTTGTCCACTACTTCCCAAGCTTCATTATCTTCAAAGCACTGAATCTCTTCACACATTGCTTCTTTCCATAGCTTAGCATCGTAACTTGCCATAGCTTCTTTCACAGTGATTGGATCATCATAAGAAGTTATCATTGCATCATCGTTAGGATTTTCTTCTTGTATGCAAACATAAGTTACATAGTCTTCAAACTGCATAGGTTTTTTAATTATTTGAGATTTTCTTACTTCCACACATTCTTCTGTTGGTAGTTCTGTAATAAAATCTTCATCGCTGGATGAAATGATTGACTCAGCATCACTAAACGATTCATCAGTCGAGTTATCTGGCTGACTGACCTCAGCCCCCACTGAATCTGATACTTCTTGTAGTTCATATTCTATGTTTCTTGGTTTTCTTATGCTTTCTTCAATTACTACGTCTCTGCTGATTATTATTTTCTGTCTTATCGGATCATACAGTCTATAGCCTTTTTATGTGTCACTATACCAAACTAAAAACATTTTCAGACTTTTTATCCATTTCTGTCTTTTTCTCTTTTGGTACAAGTGTCATGGTTTTGCTACCAAAAATTCGTATTCCACTTACATCTGGCCTCTTGTTGAACCACATTTCATATGGGGTTTTCTTCAATCCTGACACTACAGATCGATTTCTGAGATAAACAGCTGTTACTTCTGGCTTCCACTTAAATTTTTTCAACAAACAACGAGCTTTTTCCACTATGGTTCTATTCATCCGTTCACTCATACCATTTTGCTGCGGAGTATAAGCATTTGTTTGCTGATGCAAAATTCCTTGATTCTTATAATACTCTTGAAAAAACTTCCCATCAAACTCTGTCCCTTGATCAGTACGAAAAACTTTTATTCGTTCACCTTTTTGATTTTCTACATATTCTTTAAACTCCTTGAATTTTTCGAAAGCTTCATCTTTACTTTTAAGAAAATATGTAAACACCATTCTCGTATAGTCATCTTCTAATATTATAAAATATCTTGAGCCCCCTATAGATGTCACTTCCATCGGACCGCATGAATGAAGTCCCCATGAATAACTTCTAAAATAGATTTTGCTTTATTCCCCTTATGATTAAACGGTAGTCTCATTTGCTTACCTTGACAACAGATTTCGCAAATGCCTGAGTCACTTTGTGATAAACTTCCTGTATAATCAAAGCCCTCAACTAAGCCATTCTTCATAGAATTCAGGTACTTGTAATTTAAATGTCCAAAACGCCTGTGCCAAATTTCTCCTGAGACTGCTAATCCTGCTACTAGTTTTGTATGTGGCTCCACAATATCTAACTTGTAAACATTTCCAGTTATGGAAAACATTTGGCGGGAAAAATAATACAAACGAACGTACTCTCATGAGCATCAGCTAAGGACTGCCTTTCACAGAATATACTAACGAAAAAGAAGCCCAAGTTCCTACTTGCATCTATATCTAAACGTGACTCCGCATACTACGCAAGCGCTATCCCGCACGTCGTTTTACGATTTCGTCTTGGCGCCTTCTGATTATAGTTTAATGAACGAAAATAATAACAATATTCCACCTAATGAGCACGAAATAATTTCCGAATCATTTATTGGACCGGAAGGCTTTAAGGAACTCAAAGGAACTTGAAAAATAATACTCTAATGATGTATGTATGCCCTTCGTTTTTGTTTAAACATAATATTATTAAAAAAGAGTTTTATTTCATTTTCTTAGTCTATTAGACAAAAATATATATGTTTTATTATTTATTTATTATGTTTTATTTGTGATACTAAAAGTCATAACTACATTGCTCAACAATTGCTGAGGATCAACATTAGGATTTTTCCGGGTTTTCGGTCATTTCAGGATTCAGGTTTAACCGAGGGGTGTCTCACTATTGGAATTACCTGTACATTTTCTTGGCAGTCATTGGCAGTCTTATGGCAGTCGCCTATAATAATTACATGGCAGTCATAGGCAGTCTTCTTCATAGT